ATTATTATTATAATTTTTTTTAAGACTAAAAGACCACCATTAGGTCACAGAATTGAAAAGGTATTGTTTCATTTTTGGGCAAAATGCATTCAAGTACTAAGACACATTAGCATCAACTCTTCCTGTTCTCACCTCAATGAGACTCTGGAGGGTTGTGCCTTGGCATAATATACTTGTTTTCCAGGACTTGCATGATTCTTTTCCACCCATTTCCTCAAACATATAAGGGGAGATCATTTCTCTGCCACATTTAATGCAGTCCCTCTTTCCTGAGAATAAAGGTGAATTTTGATATGCGTTAAGACATTTGTGTAAATGATCTACAGTGGGTAGCAACAATGTGATTTTTTAAAGGGGGGGTGATGCTTTTCTATAGCCACGGTATGGATAGATAATTTTCATCAATTAGTCAGAAAATGTATTTGAATATTAAATAACTGTAGTGTTATAAGTCATGTTGGAAAAAATACACAAAAAAAAAAACAGAAAGACAATAGATCACATTGTAAAAATATGTGGTTTTATGGCAATTGTAACATCTGAAAAATACATTTTGTTAAAGGAATCGTTCACCCAAAAATTTGCTGAAACTTTACTCACCCTCAGGCCTTAAAAAAAGACTCATGTACAACTTTTTTTTTTCATCAGAACAGATTTGGAGAAATGTAGCATTACATCACTTGCTCAACAATGGATCCTGTGCAGTGAATGGGTGCCGTCAGAATGAAAACATCTTTGATGATTTTGTTTCTTACAAAAACAGCTTTTCACTTAACATAACATTAATTGATGGACTGGAGTGGTGTGGATTACTTGTGCATTATTGTGATGTTTTTATCAACTGTTTGGACTCTCATGACAGCACCCATTGGTGAGCAAGGCCATCCTTTTAAGGCCTGAGGGTGAGTACATTTTTAGCAAATTTTCTTTTTTGGGTGAACTGTTCCTTTAACCCACTTTATGTCAATTAAATGCACAACAAAAATAATAGTAATAGGCCTGATGTCAGGAAAAAAATAGCAAACAAAGAAAATTAAAAATGGCTATTTTGAAACACCTATGTGGAGATTAAAACAAAAGAGCATAAATGCAGGACTCTTTATTGTTATAATGTTATAGTGCACAGAAGGTTATGCTGCTTTGAGATATTTAAACATTGAGGGTAACTTACTTTTATACAATGCTTTTCTGTCCAATAAGGCCTTTTTATTCCCACATGTGACAGGAAGCATTGTCTTGTGTTTATCCATGTTCCAGAGATCCTCTTAGGGAGAAGAGGGTAAAACGCACTTAATTAAAATGAACAAGTTGTTTTACATGTTTCATTTTTGTTATAAATATAATGGAGGGAATGCACATAAAGTGTCCAGCAAATGTGTTTTCACGCCAAAAGGAGTTTGTCCAAAAATGAATAGCAACCTGCTTTACTATGCAAGGACGGACGGAAAAACGGCAATTCTGTGCTGGAGTCTGAAGAGCTCTGAAGATCTGGAGAATTTTTCGAAATACAAAACAGAATGGTTTCAGAACTTAATGTAATTATTTAGACAGACAGACAAAAAGTCAGGCTGGTCAATCAGTTATCTGACTGAGAACTCACCTCTCTCCACGTGTTTATCTGTCGTCCTCTGGCTGCTAATGCTTTGTGATGATGGTCCAGCTTGGTCACTCACAGAGTTGCTCTCTGTCCTTCTCTTTTTAACCTCTCTTTCTTTTCCTGTGCCTCGATCCTCAAACTCTTTCTCTTATTTTTTTCTTTGGCTGACTCTTAAGAGCTGAGGAATTAGAAACTAGAATTAGAAAATAAATCAGCAATGCTGAAGACCTCAGTGTAATATTACAACAAAAGCACTCTCAGATGGTGAGACAGACAGACTGATAGATAGCAAGACATATGCTTTCTTACAGTTCATCAGAGCTGCAGTGATGTCAGAGAGTTGAGAGTAACGCTGTAATATATGCTCCTGGGCCACACATTCCCAGTACTTTCTAACATTCTTCTTTCGACGTTTTTCAATATAATCCAATGCACAATACACACCATTATCGTCACCAGTGTTCTCAAGCTTTTGCTTCAAAAAAAAAAAAAAAATTGCTTCTATGTTAATGTATTATTGGTCTGAAATGTTAAATGCTTACATACATAAAGCTCATCTGTAATGAGTCTATTGTCCTTGAGATGTCGGAGAAACATCAACGGCTCTTCTATTGTAGACATCTTTGTCTTGTTTTGGCAGAAAAAGTCAAACAACTTTTCATCTGTGAAAAATCCAAAGTCCACAGTGTTGTTGTTTTTAATTTTGTTTCTTCTGCTAAAAAAGAACACATTTAGAATGATTGAATTTGTGATGTGTACACCTATGAATTTAACATATCGTCACCAGTTTTCTCAAGCTTTTGCTTCAAAAAAAAAAAAAAAATTGCTTCTATGTTAATGTATTATTGGTCTGAAATGTTAAGATCATGCTTACATAAAGCTCATCTGTAATGAGTCTATTGTCCTTGAGATGTCGGAGAAACATCAACGGCTCTTCTATTGTAGACATCTTTGTCTTGTTTTGGCAGAAAAAGTCAAACAACTTTTCATCTGTGAAAAATCCAAAGTCCACAGTGTTGTTGTTTTTAATTTTGTTTCTTCTGCTAAAAAAGAACACATTTAGAATGATTGAATTTGTGATGTGTACCTATGAATCTAGCAGTTTAATTGTATTTTATTTATCAGACACAACAAGCATCCAGCCTTCAGTGACTCATTGTAATGCAATTACAACCCTGTCGCATACTACATACACTTTATAGAAAATATGAAAAAATATAGTTTTACAGACACTATATGGGTGACTACCAGTCCTTAAAGTGTGTTACGGCAAATAGGAATAGTGTGCGGTTGGAGTGAGACAAATATCCTCACGTGTTTAAGCAAAAACGATGCAATAAAAGAAACTATTGCTATTATTGTTTTTTCTTGAAATGTTTAGTATTGTGTCTGAAAATGGCTTTGACCATGCATGTTGTACAGTTTATAATTATCTTTATATAATATTATTTTACATAAGTCAATTTAACAATATGATCAAATAACATGTATTCTTTCATAATAAATTAATTTATTAAATAATTTGACATTATTTTATAGAAAAAAAACTAAATTTTTTTACCATACAGTAATGTACCCAGTTAAGCAGGCCAATCACTCTGATGCAGAAACAAAACTGAAAGTTGCTTCCTGGATTGTTATTTAGAAATTTGAGTAATAAAAAGTGATAAAAGAAAGAAAACAACAGATCAGAAAAAAATGGAATTACTAATAATTGCATAAATGTACTCACCTTGCTGTGTCCATGACTTTCTGCCTATTCTGCCTATCTGGTTCGCTTTGTCTCGTACACAGTGTACACACACACCGTCTAATCTCCTTTCCTTTTACATGCTCCACCTAACCACACCTTTCAGTAGATCTGCCTTCCCACCTGATCAGCATATTGCGAAATGGTGATCTAGCCATGCGGAAATCAATATATACATATATATACTGTATAGCTGGCTAACGATAACGTCAGCATTTTCTCGTCCTTTGATTGGATGGTCAGCATACTAGCAAGCAAACAGCGTCACTGAAAATCATTTTATTAAAACGTAGTAAAACTTTTATTACTGTTTCTCAGGTAATAAAACTTAGATTTTCAGTGCATTTTGAAAAAAATATTTGCCTACTATATTTAGTAAATCTAAAAACAGTAGTCCTAATGGTTTTCCTCGGCGCGAGAGTGCCGAATGAATTCGCTCTATTGGATGGCGAGGTAGACGGATGTTTAAGCTACAGGCAGGGGATTGAATTTTGTTATTGATCCGATAGGCGATTGGACGAGCGGCAGTTGAATGGCGTCGTTGGCGT